TTTATAGAAATTGACAAGATGTATTATAATAACAAAAATTGTATGACAATGGCACGGACCTAGAATCCGTGGAGAATTAATCTATAATATTATAAAAACCTAAGTAGTACCTAGGACTGTAATAGAATTGTTGCAACATGCTACGAGCTAGGTAGATGTGTTAACTATAGTTATGTATATAGATCGCGTGCACAGATTTCCCTCGCAGATTAAAGAAACGCATTCCCGAGCGTAGCTGTAGGACACACTTGTTTTAATTTGTAACACTTCTAAGGAGTTCTAGGAAACCTTTTTGTTAAGGTAGCGTAATGTTATGTGCTTGTTTATGATGTAGGGCTTTTACTGCAGTCACTAGACCCATAAGGGACATAACATTACATCACGTCTTTAATCTCCGAAGGAGTAGGCAGAGGTGCACATTATGCCACTGTACAATGTAACACCCACTTTTCACTATTTATGTTTGAGTCCCATGTGATAGGGGGTGAGCCTATTGCCATATACCGGGCACAATTCCAGACTCCGTGCTACTACTGAGATAGTTTTTAAAACTCAGTAGAACTTTGCCCAACCCGGGAATCGAACCCTATGCGTCCACATAAGCACGTTGGACAGCTAATCTGTCTTGGTACCACATAGGTACATCAATAACCTTACGTATTTTACAGAGTGGGAAGTAAGTACTAGATTAACTTTGTTTCTAATCAGTAAGCACTCAGGTTCTGTAGTTGTATGATAGCTGCCTCATAATGTTCATAACTTTTCAAATTTCATAATAAAGATTAGGTTCAGATACAATAAATAACGCTGTTGCAAGCGCGCGATCACGTATTAACTGATAATGCAAATAATTACAAAACACTCTCCATGATATATCGTAATGATATTATCTTCCTTTGACATTTGCATAACAGAAATCGATTCTAATTACAAGGAATTTTGGATTATTTCCAAACTTGATTTGAGTAGAGTCATACCCATTTCATAACATCACGCCTTTTATCCCCGAAAGGGTAGGCAGAGGTGCACATTATGCCACTGTCAGTGTAACACTCACTTTTCACTATTTATGTTATGAGTCCCATGTAATAGGGGGTGAGCCTATTGCCATATACCGGGCACATTTCCAGACTCCGTGCTACTACTGAGAGTTTTTTTAAAACCCAATAATAGTTTGCCCGGCCCGGGAATCGAACCTGAGACCCCTTGCCCGGCAGTCGCACTTGCGACCACTCGGCCAACGAGGCAGTCCATTCCTTAAAGATTAATTAATACGCATTATCAAATATTAGCTTCTTCAGCCTGTCTCCACAAAAATAATGGCAATGTAGCAAAGTGAGCCAGTGCTGCCCTCTATAATTTTCGGTTAGTATGACATTTGTTTAGAGGTTTGTAGTTCAGTAGGCAGTCGACTAACTATTGGAAAGACGTTTAATAGCACACTTATGTCATTATTGGCTCATAAATGCTCATAATTAACTTTTTATAACTTGATATATTGCGTAGGTATATCTAAGTACCAAGTTTCACAAAAATCAGTCTAAGAGAAAAGGAAGAAATGGGATTTGTGTCAGCTTCGGTACTTTTAAAATAAAACGACCAACTTAAAGAACGAGAACAAATTATATATTTTTTATCTGTTACATCCACAAGAACAGGCTGCGCGGGAGATGTGGTGCCCAGTGACAGGGTCCCCTAGACGACAACATTATGATCAGACCATCACATTCTATTGCCATATTTGGGAAACTCTTTAATAAAAATTTCAACTATAATAATCGGTGTTCGAGTACATAATGAACAATATATATAATTATAATTTAAACCACAATATAACTAATAATATAAGTGTCTTTCACCGAAAGAACATATTTTATAACTGGTATAAAAATCAATATCGCAAAAGCCATAATTTTAGACTTTGGTCATCTTACAGACAAAGCACTATCTACAAAGAAAATAAACATTTAACAGTAGATTTAATAAATATGTGTAAAAGGAAAAAAATAACTTTGACTTATCAATATATCAGAGTATTAACAACGAACGGCATTTGGATTTCATTTGATAAAACTTTAATAATTCATTAATTAACATACAATAAATATCAATACAAAACGTTAACAAGCCCTATGTTATGGAATCCTATACATTTGATTTCAGTATTTACTAAATAATACATTCAGTATTTAACGAGCTATGCATGTATTTTAAACATGTAAAGCTGATAACACTCTTGGTATTTCTAATTTTTTTATTAATAATTAAATAAATGGATGGCAAATAGAATACATAAGACTGTCTTCATATTTGGGTATTTTGCATAGATTTTCAACATCACAAAAACCTTTTAATACCCATTATAATGTGTTTGAGTTCACTCCCTATTTGTCTCGACCCCACATCTCTCACGCATTAAAATAACTTAAAGTTAAACGTTAAACAGTTAACAATAATAAACTGTTATGAACCGTACGCGACAATATCAGTTTGTTTAAAATATATTCTAGCGACCATGTAAAGAGTCTGAAAATGTTCACCTCATTCAGTACGTATCACAATTATTTTACTTTAATTCATTAATAGTGTTCAATTATTAAACTACTTGTACAATGAACCCGTGTTTAACGTCTGGGGGAAATCTTTTATTTATCGGGTAAGCCGGTAAACAGACGGATCACCGGTAAGCAATCGGCGCCGCCCATGGACACCCGAAACACCAGAGGCGTTACAAGTGAGTTGCCGGCCTTTTGGGGGTTAGAAATTAGAAGAGGAAGAGGCGGAAGAGGATTATTGGGGATTCTGGGATTCGGGACATTGGGGAGGGGAGATCAAACGAAACACAATGCAATCTTAATTTAGAATTTCTGGTATACATATAACAATTTTTTATTCCTTCTTCTAAACAAGATTGCCGTTGGGTATCGCTGCGTACTCACTGTTGCCATCCTTTTCTAACATAATGCAATATTTCTCCCTTTAAGATAAACACGAGTGTACCATCTATGTATATTACACAAGAAGTTTAAAAAGCTGCTATGATTAATATAATTTGTTCAAAAAACTGTAGAAATTGGCTGACTAGACGATATTAAGTAATGTCAAATTAATGAATTCCGTGCACATGTGGGTGATCAATTATCGAGTGCACATTACGCTTCGAGATTCAAAGGTGCTCCAAAGTTAGAATATTCGATTTATTTACTATCGATTTCATTTTAAAAATATTTCATTTGATTTGCATCTTGAGTCATGCACCAAGAAACAATAAGTCGTGTTATAATTTATCTAATTAATACATTTCTACTCAACAAAGCGACATCACAATTTAGACGTAGCATGTATATACAAGTGTATAATTTATATAATAGTATAATGTACACTCATGTAAGCATTTAACATTTTGTAAACTGAATGCTGAACACTGGCGCGTCAGTACAGCGTTACACTATGTACACACGACTGTACCTCCCTAGTATATAATGCAGATGCATAATATGTGAAACAACGGAACATAGGCCATGTGTTGTCTGAAATAAGAATACAAAAATAATATCAAGTACTTACAGCTTTACACGTGTAAACTAAATCAATGTAAATAGCCGGGGCCCCTCCATGTCTACCTACGCTTGTACTTAAAATGTAATTATTACATAATAGATTGGACAACAATTAACTCGGCCCGGCGCGACAATTAACTATATTTTAATCTTCATAATTGTAGCCGCTACCACCGAAATTTCTTTTAATCTTTTAAAAGTATATTACGAAAATCTTTTTATATGAATTAAAATGATAATGTTGAAGGACCCGGCACGTACAAAAATAAATGAAAATTTACAAAGTTATTAATTTATTATGGTACTTCCCTAACTATTTAATGTGAAACAACATTGCAATATATTGAATAAATAAATTATTTCTTACCTAACAACAAAACTAGTAACGAATGCAATATAGAGGGATCTAGTTGCTGCCTACACGGAAATTATATGAACAAGTCTTTTGGTAATCAAAGGCATGGATGTAGCTCTGAGACTGTATCCAATACAAGAGTAATAAACAAGAGAACGATCCCATCGCCCGCCCAGTCCGGCCCAGTCCGGCCCAGCCCGGCCACTGCCTCCCGCGACCAACGCCAGAAGCCAACCGACAAGTAAACCGCAACACGTTCAGTTACAACTTAAAGTACAGATTTTTAAAAAGATTTTAATCTAATTTTTGGTCTAGGATTTTAAAATCATGATTCCCTGTGACCGAAACTCGTAAAACATTCAAAATAGATAGAAAAACTGGAGATGATGTATACCATCCACAGTCATTATACTATACGTTGTATACATAAGTTATATTCATATATAATATAGTAATATAGACGAGGTGCATGCACACAGTCCTACGTAAGTACGGTAACACTAGACATACAACATACTCGTAACATTTGTCATGATCGTGATCTTCAATAAATAATAGGAATCTGTAACAATATTGTCTGTCTGTGACGCTAACTAAAACAACAACAGTGATATTGTTTCCGAGAGAGGGTGAGAAGAGTTTGTACGTGTGTGGGCGGCGGGCGCGGCCCGCGGACTAGCAGACGGTGTAGAGGTCGCAGCGGCCCCGCGGGGCCCGCCCAGCCCGCCCCGCCCGTCCACGCGGGGCCCGGCCGGCCCAGCCACCCCAGCTGCGCGCGCGCCGCGCTCACGACTGCTGCGGCCGCGGCTGCCGCGTATCGTAAGCACGGATCATCTCCGCCTGCGACACACTGCCGCCTTCTTCTTGCGAAAACGCGAACCCGTCTATATCACACACAAGCACACGTTAGTCATTTATACACACGGCGACAAATAAATCACCAAAAGATATATGAATTTGTAAACTAGTGGTGTGGAAAACGGTAAAAATGAACACTGAATGGTTCTATCTGAATCAGCGTGATGTCACTATACACTCGTGAGGTTAACACAAACTGTGTGAACTGAGAACTTATGAAAATAAAATCAATGAATACCTTGACAAGTCCTCCAAGAGGTCTGCGGTAAATAAACAGTGTCTCTATGTGTGTTTAACGCGTTAGCGGTGCGTGGTGTGGCCACGGAGTAGGAAACTGATGGAATGCTAATATGTACTCGAGCCGAGGGGAACACTCTCGGGGGCTCGTCTGATGCCTCTGCATTAGCAGTCCATGAGTCGGTTCCATGGAGGTACTCACGCGACAGCTCAAGCTCCATGGTGGCGCGCGTGGCGGAGCGCCGGCTGAACACGCTGCGAACGTTCTGCAGCAGCCGCGCCGTCTCCGTGAGGCTGCCACACAGAGCTCGCGGTGACTACTGAACTTTGAGCCCTACCGGCCCGCCGGCCCCGGCGCCCTCGACTAGGGAACCACCGCTACCGCGACCTCTACGTCTCAACGCGTCGCTTCAAGAGTACTACAGTACCTTGCGTGGCGGTTCCCACATCGAGGCATAGTTTCGAGTGACCGAGGGCCAACAATTTGTAACCGAACATAAATGAACCATCACCAATCGATAGACATAGAGATAGTAAGAAGCGTGAGTGTGTAGCACTGGCCACAGCTGATAGAGATGGAGGATCAGCGGTGGCAGTGCAGCAAGCCGAGCCAGGCCAAGCCATGCAAGCGCACGGAGCGGGTACTTACACGTCGCCAGCCGCACGAGCGCGTGGCGCGCGTCCGCCGCGCTGTCCGCAGAACAACCACCATCAGTTAGTACTCCACATGCACACCACAGACACGCCACACACACCCGACACTCCAATGCCAACCAACATGCCACGCCACGAGCGGTGTCTTGTTAATTGTTTAGTTATTGTCAGAGGTTACTACGGATTAGTAGACGTTAACATTGGACTGCCTGATAATTTCAAAAATAAAAGAATTCCAATCTTAAAACAAATAAAAAAAATACGTCGTGTGCGGCGTGTCATTACAATAATTTTGATACCATTAACCACAAATAAGAACATAATTTCATCATCTGCGAGATAGCTCAGTAGATAATTCAAGAATAGAGTCTGGACACTTATATGTTAATGTACGAATTGTTAACAAGAGTGGAGTGGAGCACAGAGCGGTGGAGCGGTAGAACTTAGACCAATAACATCTCTCCGCTGCACTGTGCTTACACCCTTATTGGAACTGAGTAGCACGGCTCTTGAGCTACGCAGTCCCTGAAGTTACGATTCGCGATGTGTGACTGAAGCAAGACAACCATTTATACAATCGTCATTATAGAAACCCTTAAGATAATAAGAAAATAACTTATTTCAGTGACACAGTTCGAAACATAAATCCTGACAGCATTTTAGTTGAGGCATGAGGGCCCATACATATATAGGAAGCATTATTTTGGCATTACTTAGGACTACAAGTCATAAGACGGAGCAGTTTCAACAGTTTATTAAAACAAACATGTAAACAATAGGGCGCGCCCTCCAACCGTTACTTACAATACTTTGTACAACGCTACTGTGAGCAGACTGGGACAATCGTATGACGGACAGACCGACAGTTATATTAGCACTTATGTTAATGTTCTCTGTACTGATCTGAGCACAACTGTAGAAATAAGATAATATAGTAAATATTTATTGAGAAGGATCTTCAGTATGTCGGGTAAATTCATCTTATACCTAAACAATACACTTGGGAGCAAATAAACGGAGCCACTAGCGATTTTCTGATACAAATATTTTTGATAACAATGTCGTATAAAAGGCAATTTAGTTTATCTGTAAAATGAGAGCATTTTGTTGTAAAAAGAATCTAGTTTTTAAAGTTATGGAGGGTTCGATAATATAAAAAAGCCCTAGTGGCTCCCGAGTATAGTTTAAGTAGCCATTTATTAAAATACTTCTCTGGTCTTCAGATCTGCTCAAATAAGTACAGTTTTCAGTTTATATGAACGTACAGATAATAATGTAAAGATACACTGAAATTACGCTACCTTTGAGATCTTCAGTCGATGACTTCATATGGGTAAGTTAATGTTATTGTCAGCGTAACTTCAGTAAAATTGTGAACGATAATAATGACAGAAACGAACGGAAACATAAAACTTTAAAAGAAAAAGTAAATGGACACTAATTGGTTGACGTCACAGGAAGATAGATAGAATTAGGTTTTCGTAGATAATTACCGAAAGAAATGATTTAAGAAACATTTGTTTAAAATAAACCACAGAATCATAAATTGGTTTATGGGCATGTTGAACGGAGCATAGTGCAGTGCACGTTTGTGCAATTCTCAAGCACAGGAGACACGTACAGTAAATAAGTGCTTCAATAAATAATATGGCACATAACGTCAACATACAAGGAAGCGAGTCGCAACGCCAACCAACCAGAGACAATATGGAGTGACATTTACAATAAAAGTATTAAAAAAACTACGAATAAAAGGAAGCAAAGGGAAATAGCGCGGGTTCTGTACATTATATACAACAACTACAAAATGTCCTGCACATGAATTTATTTTATACAAAATAATGTAACAAAGCAATATTAGGTATATTATAAATAATTTCAATTCATAAATTATATCTGATTCAGTACCGAATACATCTCATTGTATTTTATCACAATATTTACTATTCTAGTAAAATTAAGTTAACAAATAATATCATCTAACATTAGGTCCAAGTAATTGATTCGTAAATTTTTTATTATTAGTAGTATATATAGTACATTATTAAAAGGCGGAGAAGTGAGACGAGAGTTTTGTACATCTAACTAGACTATAATTGGAATGATATTTATACGTCCAAAGTGTTCGTGATATGTTTTATAGTACTGCGTACATAACAAATATGGAATGTGACGCGTTGGATCGATTACTCTCGAGGTAATTAACAATTGAAAGCTATGCTGTCTCCTGTGTATTTTGTCAGTCACAGGAGTTACTGATGAACTCCGAGATCACACTTGTATAATACAAAACAGTAACATATGTATAATAAATAATATGTATAGGTGTGAAACATGTACACTCTGAGGTGAGAATGGTAACACAGTAAACAAGAACTGCGTGTAAACTTACTTACAATGATCGGATCACTCAACAAGCCGGTACCTACACCTACTTACCATAGAAAACTCTCAAACGTGTTCAAATACAAAAATATTCACATTTATATATACTACACTATATATAGTCCGATATAGCTATGTGGCGGGACACCACCCCCACCGGCCTTGCTCTGCATCGCCTACTTTGGGGCTTCGCGATTACATTACTTTATTATATACCTTCATAGTAAACAAGTCAAAATCTAGGAACAGTTAGGAACCGACCGACTTGGCACCACGGCGTTCTATGGACGGCCATCAAATTCAGATCTATCTAAGTAATAATATATTTATAAAAATATCTAGTTCAAAAATTCGTTAAACGTTACACTTAAATTAATTTTATCAAATAATGGCTACAGTTGAGCTTTGTTTATTGCATTATTTTGTAAAAGCTAACAATTAAGAGATCTGCATGGAGATATTAATTAAGATACAGTGTAGTGTGCACTATAACACAGTGTAGTAGGCCTGCAGAGCCGGTGAGGTGGGTGGCGGTCGCGCCAGGCTATACATCACTAACTAACCTTTTCAAGGAGTATCTTATTGTTACATAAATTCCTCGTTTCCTAGTGCACGCTACGTACACGTATACAACTCGTATATTGTGGCACACTAACGTCTCTCCCTCGTCACAACTACACAATACTGGAATGTTATTGTAGGAATCATTGACTTACTGCAGTATTCAATACTTGTTGTAATATTAATTCATAGTAATACCTAGTAGGGTGAGTTAGAATTCGTTAAGTTCACACGAGCACAAATGTGTTTTTGCCCAGCGGCATTAAACTATCTAAGTATACTTAATTTAAGTATTTTACGTTTTCACTAATTAATAACGAAGTCGTAAGAGGATTTCGATGATCTCAATATGGGAAGAACTAGATAAGCATACAAAACCTAGCGGCACTCGGGAGCTCGACTAGAGCACTATATAGTAGGCAGTAGTCCTACTGCACTTCTGTTCATATCAATATTTACCATCTAACGGCACTGCCTTGTCTCATTCTTATCATGTACTGGACGTACGCCCACCTCGGAACGGAAAGTTAACGTTAATATCTACTACAACAATATCACATCGCGACATCGTCGATAAATGCATACAAAAATAGCGGAGGAAGATCTGGGGAAGGAGCATGGCGGCGGCAGCTGGACGCGGGCGCTAGTGCGGCCTCAGCGCGCGGGGCGCTCGGGGCGCTCGGGGCGCTCGGGGCGCGCGGGGCCCGCGGGCCGCGGGTCATACCACGTGCGGGCGGCGCGCGCGGCGGGGCGCCGGCTCAGCGGGCGCCACGGCGCGGCGCCAGCGCAGCCCCACCACGGAGCCGCGCGCCTTGCTGCCCCCCACAACATCACGTTACACGCGCCCCGCCCACGCTCGCCCCGACCTCCGTCGAGCGAGCTACGCGCGCCCGCCCCACGAGTGGCGAGCGTCTTATTATCTCAGTACCTCATCCCTTTATTAGGTTACTTAGCTTTACGTGTAAGACCGTGTCCCACGGGAAGGATCGTGGTGTAGTGGACCCCGGTAGGTCGGAGTGTCCGTAACAAAGAGTAGCGGGAGGTCGTGGCGAGCGTACGAGTGAGTGCGGGGAGGGGCGATGCAAAGCAACTAAACACGTAACATAGGTACGTACTGACTGCGTGCGACTACACTCGTGGCTAGGGGCCGCCGGCTGACACCGACAATACATACATAGCGGTACAGATACATTATATACTCGCTACTCGATCAAGCACACTACATATTATGCGATATAAAAAGGACAATACATGTGTACAATTAACCAGAATTGAATAGTTGGAACACTAGATAATTTGAGCTAATATAGAACTACAGAAGAGTACAAAATCTAATCTAAATATAGTATCGTTTTACGTGTAGTACATAGAGGAAGCGTAAATATAGGAGATCAGCCGGCAGCGACACACAAGTATCCACGTACATATGCATAGGATGAAAGTACAGTGGATGACAGACAACTGCGCGCCCGCGCCCCGCCCTGCGTCCGGGCAGGGCGGGGCGCGGCCGCGGACATCGACGGCACAATATATACATGTGTACAATATCATACGGGGAGTCATGGCGTGTGTGTAGTGTCTACAGCTTTGATTCATAGATTTGGATAACTAAATATTAGTTATTTACTAATATTTTTACAATTCAGTCTTACAAGGTAAGTGTAGGTACTACAGACACGCCGAGCACTATAATATATTAATAAACGTACATACTATACACAATACAAACTGTTAAATCGGTATGAATATTAGTCAATAGTCAATAGTCCAGTCGTATTCATTCCAAAATAATGCACACAACGCAAACACACGCATTCTGTTCTGACATTTGACATCTGTCGGTTTATCATGTGTCGTCCTACTGACGACAACTCGGAAACTTTGACAATTCTATGCTCAGAATAAATTCTTTCTCTTACAAAAAATATCAGCCATATTAAACAAAAAATTTAAAAATATGTAAAGCCTGAACTGTTAACTCGAATACTTAACAAAACCTATTTTGAGCATTATCATTTGAGATCACACACACATACACAAGTAGAAAACAAGCATCCAACTTCTGTGTATAATAACAAAATATTTATACCATGGCAACCCCAACCGAATGTTGGCAACACCCGTGCAATGTCCCCGTTCACCAGATACCGTGCAACATTCGAAAAATATTCTCATTTATATAATGTGTGTGCTCCCATATTTATAAGACTGTAATATATATAATCGTATACTAGAATCACTAGGCACGTCTCTAGTAAAAATGCTTTATCGTGCCACTTAAGGTTATTGTATAAATAAGGGGATTTTATTACAAAATTACATTTATGTAATTTTGTAATAAAACTAGTAACTAGCTAGGTGGATCAGAAACTAGTTCAATTTTCTGAGATAGTCTTACAAAATCTATTCTATTTTATCTATTTGTCAGAATGAAACAATATTAGGTACTTGTTTGTTTTCTTGCAATAAGAATAAATAGATTAAAATAAAACGATTTAAGCTTAGGAGTGCAAGGTCGCAGCGACGTAATTATTGTACTAAGGCTTGTACTTGCAATATTTCAAATCATTATCGTAGCAAGAATCTAAAATGAGGACAATATATCCGACACTTTTAGTCCAGATGGACGTGATAAATTTGTACACCGTCCCTGTCTATATACCGTATACTTAGTTTGAGAAATTGTTGATAATAATATAAACAACACTTTAGTTTTTTTGTTCAACTTTACAAACAGGATAAAGCATTTTCACAGATTCTAGTGTGGCGCTCAGAACACGTGTCGATATATCGACATCGATATTTCAAAGATAGGGCGGTACTCACGAGTGTCTCGGGTGTGTGAGCAGTGCGCTGGGGTCGCGCTGCTTTATCTCGCTCTCACGCACGGCCTCGGTCATCGACTTGAACATGGAGTTGTGGATGCTGGAACGAGACACATACATTTTAATTACGACTGCAACAAATTACACGACTTTGTTTCCGTCCTTTGCTGGATATAGGCCTTTCCAATAGAACACCATTGAGCTCGATCTCATTTAACCACAAGCTGGAGGTTGCCCTACAGTATCTTTGTCTAAACGCGGTCTCCAAACAAACAAAACCGCATTTTTTCACGCCAACATACAACAGGAAAAAGCCAAAAAAGTCAATAGGAAAATTTGGAGAGGGGCAAACATTGTATCAACTAAGTACGACATGGGTCTCTAATTACACCTGTCTCTATAGACGGTAAGACTGACATCTGACCTGCACTCGTCCGTTCATTGAACACATCGCAGTAGTATAGCAGTATACAAGACTCTTATGTTCGTGGTCGCGCCGTGTCACGGCTACAACCAGATAAGTATACATTAGTTGTACATTCGAATAGTTCACTCAAATGATTATATTATGTCGAACTACTCTCTAGTATTACATCAACTATGTCTAGTTTATTACAATATGTTTCTGCTCATCTAACCCACAAGTTCCTCTACTTCATTACAACACGAATTACACTTGTAATGCAGGTTAATGTACACTTCAAGTCTATATAATACAGGTGGAACTCAATTTCTAGCAATAATGTATTCGAAATAGTGTGGGGTATTAAGAGATTGCACATTACTGTAGCAGGCGAGGGCCCGGGCGGGCGGTCGGGAGGTTTAGGCGGAGCGGGAAGAGCTGGCGGGGGAGGGCGGGCGGAGCGGGAGGAGCGGGCGGAGCGGGAGGAGCGGGCGCGCGAGTGGGGCGGGCGGAGCTGGCGGGCGGGCGGACGTGGCGGGGCGAGCGGGGCGGGCGGAGCTGGCGGGGCGGGCGGAGGTGGCGGGGCGAGCGGGGCGGGCGGAGCTGGCGGGGCGAGCGGAGCTGGCGGGGCGGGCGGGGCCTTCGGAGCTGGTGGGGTAGGTGGAGCGGGCGGAGCATGCGGGATGCCCGGAGCGGGCGGAGCGCGCGTCGCCGCCGGGGCCATGCCACGTAGCGTCCGCAGCAGGGCCAGGGTGGGCCGGCGGGGGATGGCGCCCATGGCCATCAGCTTAGTGGGCGCGAACGCAGATATACCCGAGGTCCGCCGCACGCTGCACATACACCGCACGTCACCCGGGCTACATACACCCACTGCCCCGCGTGCTCGCTCCCGTACTCTACGCGACTATACTTTCCTCCAATATCTCATTCAAAAACAGACCGATAAGTCAAACTGTTTGCTGCGTAGAACTATCTATCACCCTACGACGGCTACGTCGACTGAAACTTATCCACGTAGTGTACAGAAATCGATTAAATGAGTGTTGGTATTCGCATGTATAGGATCGATAGGACATTTTTACTAGTGGTATACTCACACAGTGACGAGCATGTCGGGGATGAGCGTGGCGACGGGAATGAGTATGAGGCCGAGCCAGAACACCAGCGAGGTAAACAGCATGCGGTCCATGCCCTGCATCACTGCGCCGATCATCACCGTCGGGAACACGTTGCTGGGGACAACCAATACACGGCAATATTTACATTGCACTCGAAAAGTGATGGTCATTGAGTATCGGTAGGCATAGTGTATAGTACTGACCTGTAGATGAGTACGAATATGAACCACATGACGACGGAGCCCCAGATGGCGACATGAGTGACCCACGTCCACGAGTGAGTGGTCAGGCCTGCCTTCAGGCACACCGTCAGCACCACGTACTGTGGTAACAATATTATTTAATTAATGAAATGTAGCATTTTTCAGTAAACTTCGTCTCAGGCCTTGCCCTTTTTGCGCTACTTTAACGTATGTTAATGAGATACGAGACACCACATAATACAAGACCTTCGGATGAGGTCGAGATGTAAATCGGGTGTATTTAGTCGAACTGTAGATTCGCACTGCGAATCCCACATATGACGGTATTATGTTTCTACCGTTACAATCTCCACATCGGTAAATGAGTATTCAGTTTCCTCTGTAATAAGACAAGACGACTGAATGAAAGTAGTGATTCCAAGATTATCTTACGGTGTAGATGATGTTCCCCATGAGCAGGTACCCTCCGTCCCGGCCGGCGGGCCAGACGACGGCGTGGCTGAGCATGAGCATGGGCAGCCAGAACAGCAGCACGGAGTGCAGGATGGAGTTGACGGCCCACACCCAGAACACGCGCACGTTGAACAGCAGGCCCTGCTGCGACGGCACGTACAGCACCGGGTGCTGCGGGCCGACTCTACTATGTATTGCGCTACTTGCGCAACTCTTGCGCTAATCAACGCGGGTAGTGCGCAACTTGCTACTACACTCAAGTGGTTTGCGCTACTCACATCACTCACAATTTCATTAAAGTTTACATTTACATTAAAGCCCATAGGTAGGCGTGCTTCATCGTCGGTCACATCATTACTTAACAATAGGCGAGATGGTGGCCTAACGTCGACCTATCTAATATATAAAAAAGCTGTTCCACTATAATATAATAAGTGTGGCAGAGCCATGCTTCTGTTTACCGGCTTATTACATAAAAAAATAATAAATATTTATAATTATGCAATGTAAAACGCGTACGTACCCTCAGCATGATTTCAGGAGAACAGAGCTTATCGAAGAGTCCAATAGCGAAGGGCGGCAAAGCGGTAAAGATTACATTGTAGAAACCTATCGTCCAGCGTTCGAATATAATTTGTCCAGACCTGAATATGTACAAAATCAACAGAACATATTACCATTAATCGTCGTGAAGAGGTTAAGTCGTTCATCCTTAAAAAAGACGAAAAGAAAATCGAAATAATCTTGTCTAGTTTTTCAAAGATATTTTCTGATTCATTTTGGTGTGGATTCCAAAGCATTCGTTTATTTTCCTGCACTCAAGCACTTCGGACTCTTATATTTTTAGCTTGATTATCACATTATAGACCTTAAGATAGTAGAAATAGAGATGGTTTTTACACAAAACAAAAGGTTATTAACACAAAGTATCTCACCAAGCGGAGTATATGGCGAACCAGAGCTCGATGACGTAGAGGCAGATGTTCTTGTAGAAGGAGTACAGGATCAGCTTACTGATGCGGGAGTAGTTCCACGCGCCATGCACCAGCAGGAGACGGAGGAGGAAGCGGAACTGGTGACAAAGTCCAACTTATTAGCACATGCAACATTATACAAGTATATATACTATACATATTCAAAAAACCTTTTTTGAATCTGTTTGTATTTAGGAGTTTTTATCCTGAGATATGGCAACCCCACCATACCCTTTTACAATGTCAGGGTTGCTATATCTGAGATGCTTAGCTTATTAGCTTGTACCTTAATTTTTCCGGTCACATCGAATTACGATCGTGCGAAAGGGAGCACCTGTTTGTACTTATACATTTGTGTACTAAAATTTGTGTAAAATCGATTAGAAGACTATTATTGTGGTGCCCGGTGCTTACTACTATAATTGTCCATAAACCGCGTTCCAGCAACGCACTCGTCACTACTCTTGTATTGCGGGTGTATAGCTGGCACTGATCGCTTACCATTAGATAATCCAACCGCTCGTTTGCTACCTATTTTACAAAAAAAAACTAGCGATCCGCCCCGGCTTCGCACGGGTGCAATATGCATGTATTATACATATAAACCTTCCTTAAGAATTACTCTATCTATTAAACCGCATCAAAATCCGTTGCGTAGTTTTAAAGATCTAAGCATACATAAGGACAGACAGACGGCGGATAGCGACTTTGTTTTATACTATGTAGAGATATAAGTACAATACATGGTAGTTACCTGTGCAATACTGTAGTCCGAGGCACAGACGGCCTGCAGCCCCTCGACGCCGGAGATGCCGACGCCGACGGAGGCGCGCTGTATCATGGCCACGTCGTTGGCGCCGTCGCCAATGGCCAGCGTCACGGCGCCCGTCGACGATGACACCAGCTCTACCACCTAATGATCACCATATAAATAAAATAAAATAAATAAATAAAAATAAAAAATATTCATCATTGACAGTTCCTTGCGTTTGCGTGGTATTTCTAAAAAGAGTGCCAATCAGATAGACAGACAGACAGTCAGTCAGTCATTTGCAAAAGCATATTATTATAGTACAGTGAACCTCACCTCAGCTTTCTGTATGGGCGACACTCGGCAGCAGATAACCACCTTGCAGGATACGCACAGGTCGAGGAAGTCCTTCTTCAGGTCACATCCCATCGCGTACTTGAGGGTCTTGCCATCCGTGATGAGAGCCACGTCATTCTGCTTCAGCAAGTTGTCACCGAACTCTGCAGTGTGACGGTTTATGCATTCGCGGGTGCCCTGCGGAACAATATTATATTGCGCGTATAAGATACTATTTAGCTATTCCGCGCGGTGTCACTTAATGTTTGGCTCCTAATACGATTTAAAGGGGGAGGATAAAACATCGTACCAACTGCCACGCTATATCTATCGCAAACCTCGATAAATGGACTGTCCAATACAAAAAGAAGTTAGGAGAGAAAGTCATGCAATGCACGGCGAGCGCCGCGCAGTCAAGTGGGAACGCTAGGAGTTGTTAAGTAAGCTGCTTTCTTATCATTATGGGCCTTTGAAGTGGCTAGAAATCAGTCGAGTTACTCCGTCGAGCTATTACGTCAGTTAACCGAACATGTCTCATGATTCACAAAAAGGCATTAGTGGTGTCTCTGTGTTGCGAAAGTTCTCGGGCTATGATTGCTTAACATCAAGTGATTGATGTGACCATTTATCATATAGATATATATAAGCTTCCGCCTGTAGCTTCGCCCGCTTCCGTGGGATAAAAAGTGCCCTTTTTTAAGGGGGGAAAATCATCGAATGACTGCTCCTCGCCTGGGTGAGGCGAGAGCGTGTGTCAGACTCTTACTGACTAAAAACCACCCCGTTCCTTCTCCTGCACGTCGAGCCGGAGCCCCGGTAACCCGGTAGGTTCTCCGCGACTTAAAAAGTGCCCTATGTGTTATTGCAGACGATGTTATCCTGATTCCTGCAGCCGTTTTGACGTGATTGAGTAACAAACATACACACAAACCCACATTTATAATATTAGTAAGACAAGCGAGTATAGTGTGAGTACTGACGTCGAGGCTGTCCTCGTTGAGTATGACGAGCGGCATGGCGGCGTGCAGCAGGCGCGCGGAGTGTCCGATGTTGATGGCGGTCTCCTGCTTGTCGCCCGTCAGCACCCACACGTTGATGTTGGCCTTCAGCAGCGCCGCTATCGTCTCGGGGACGCCGTCCTACGTACATACACCTTATTTAATATTATAAGAAAAACAAAACTTGTACTTTGGTAGCGATGAAAAACAGAAGTAACGACAAAACACAAGAATGCTAGTTTATTTATTTATTTGGTATTTAATATTTTATGTACACACAAACAGCACAGAGAGTGAGATATATATAAAATAAGAGTACAAAGGTGCTACTTATTCTTGTTGTAATTTCTTCCAGTAGACCTGAGTAGCTAGTTATTTCGCATTAAAAAGGTTTCATTTTAAAATTTTGACCCGTTTTTAAATATCCAAAAAAATACCGGACGGGTTTTCTACGGTGTTATCTGGTACGGTTACCTGCAGCTTGTCTTCAATGGCAGTGGCCCCGAGCAGCCTCAAGTTGTTCTCAATGAGCATGGCGGCCTCCTCCAGCTTGCGCTCGCGGTCCTGTATCGCGATACTGGCCTTGTGGTACGTGTTCGCCCAGTCCTGGAATACATATATTACACTTAATACGACTTACGTTGTATTTGTTAATATTTTTTAAGTTATGGGTTACTTATTTTCAATTCCAAGCCCGCTTACCTAGCACGGACATTCTAACCAATCGATAACTATAATAGAAACAGATCCATGTCGTATAATATAAGGAGGCCAAAATGCCTTAATATTAGCATATTACGAAGGGTAGATGTCAAACGGTTAATGTACAATTAGTAATGCAATATCGATACATTCAACCAATTCAAATATCATAGTACAAAATGTTTAGTTATTGTAGTAGGTACCTGATAGAACTGTTCAGATATATCCGCGACGGCGAAGCAGAGCGTCCGTAGTCCGTCGCAGGCGAAGAGCTCGAGGTGTGAGAGCGTAGTGTCGGCGTACTGAGCGTGCTCGCCGCCCGCCAGGCGCGAGTAGATCACTGTGTCCGCGCCCTTACAGTATAGCTTGATCTCACCTGATAGCATTACATCAATGTTTATATTGCGAGTCTGTGGCTAAGTGAACGCTGAAGCATTGTTTGTTCACTATGGGAGAGGCCGTACCGGTGGGCGTGCGCACGATGACGGACATGCGCTTGCGCGCCGAGGTGAAGTCGAGCACGTTGAGCACGGTGTACTCCTCCACGGCGTGCGGCGCGCGCATGCGCACGGAGCGCGGCGTGCGCTGGTCGAACACGTAGCCCCACTGCGCCGCGCCCAGCACCAGCGCGCGCTCGTCTGGGGACGTACGACGGGGGCTTTTAACTTTTGTCGTTTGAAGAAACAAACACAACTAGAACTTTATGGTAATATAAGTCAAGATTTGACACAAATAGTAGTATGTCCACGCTGGAATTTTAAATATCAGCGTTCGATAGTCCACAGACATGCTTCATCACCGAACACAGATATTAGCTCACCAAAAAACTGCAGTGTCAGACCTCCTCTAAAGTTGTAGAAAATTATTGCACGAACATTTTCCTTAGAATTATTCATTTTCGTACACAACCTGATAGATTACAACCGACGCTGGAACTTAACAATAGCAATAATCCTAATACTTTTAACTTAAACGCATTCGAATATAAAAAAGTTGCAAATTCTAAATTGAAATACGGAAACGACAGAACTTAAAAGGTATGCCTTGTACTACACCTAGCCACTCCCCGCAGTAGACACAGGGTAGTGACTCACTGACCTGGCGAGGCGGCGTGGTAGTTGAGCTGGTCGCCCACTTGCTCGGGTATGACGGTGTGGCAGATGGCCAGCATGGTGAGGAACTCCCGGATGACGGGCGCCGTCGGGTGGTTGCGCTGCATGTTCTGGTACAGCAACGTGTCCTCCAGCTTCTCGTCGGGACCCTTGACCGTGTATATTATCTACGACAAACATTGCTGGTTCAACTACAGAAATGGTCCAACCGTACACTGCATGGAACCCCGTGATAGATTACCTCTCCGATGCTACATTTGCGGAACTCCATGACGTTGCAGGTGAGAGTCCCGGTCTTGTCGCTGAAGATGTACTGCACCATGCCGAGCTCCTCGTTGAGGTTGGAGGTGCGCGCCATGGCGGGCGTGTCCGTGGCCGCGTGGTACATCTCACTGTCCATCGATATGAACTTCGCCTGCAGGGGACCATGGCATCAAACATTGCGAACATTAATATTACAAGTACTTATGTTTCAATAAATGAATGTAATATACTCACTTGAAAAAATCTAACTATTTCTGCAGTAACTTGTAACGATATAGGTATAAGGTTGTTGTACAATATTAAAAATGTCAAAAAGTTAAATACGAAATGTGCATTCTGCGCGTCTGTAACAAGGAAATAATAATGGTTACATATACATACCTATAAACAAACAACATGACACTCTTACACAATCATTTGACAGTAAGAATCTGTACATTCATTTTATATTGATCATTTACAGAAGGGTAAGGCTGAGTAAAATAATATATTTTTTTAAGAGTCAAGTGTACAGGTAGACTATAACATTCATTTCAACAGTTGGGATTGTCTCCGTAAATAGCTTCGGATAGGTGCAGAAAGAAGAAGTATGATGAGTATACCTTCGAGTCCAATATACCAGTCGCTGTGCGCGCGCATCCAGAGCTCGTTGAAGGCGGCGCTGACCAGCGACAGCGTCAACAGGATCAAGAACAGCAACAGGATGTGTGTGTTTGTCTGACGGTCGATCGACGACCGCTTCAGGGGGGCTGGGGAACAACAGATATGGCTAAATTACCACCACTTAATGGAAATGTTTTTGTACGTGAAAAGTTAAGAGCTGGTAGCAATAAAGACAATAATTATAGTCACGTGATATAGGCACGTTCACGTATATACCTAGACTCAGTACAACTATGTCTGAATTACAAAAAAAAATCAGTGCAGGAATGGCACTAGATGTTACAAGAAGAGACAAACACGTGATTTTAAAAGTACGTCATAGATTTTGCGCAAACCGATATCTTACTACATAAAATTAGCGCAACTAGTTATTCATTGCGCAAAAGTAAGGCTACAGTTAGAATTTAGCGCATGTGCGTAGATCGAGAAGCGTACCTTTGGTGGAGTTCTTCATGAGTTTGGTTTCGTGTCCGGTGTAGACGACGACGCCGTAGATGTAGTTTGTGTTGCGAAGCATGGAGCCTCGCAGTAACATCTGGTCCAGGCCCAAAGGTATCGTTCTGTAACAATATTACTCATTACACTTTAGGGAAACCGATGGAATGGACTTAAGTTCGTATGACATCATCATCAAATAATAAGAACTAAGAAGATATGAATTAAAATGTGTCAGACAGCATACACTTAGATTTGAGTAATATGTGCAGTGTGTCTAATAATAATCGATTTATCATAATAACAATCTTGTTGCTAAAATATATATTGTTAACATGGCAACAGTTTATAAATTCGATGATTCTATACTATTTACAGTCTGGATAAAAACAAAAGACAATGGCGTGTTTGAATTACTCATTGATATGGTAATGTTTTAAAACATCGGCTTTGGTTGCTGTTCACGGTTCAATTTAGTTACGCTACAGTAAAATAAAACCTTTGTATTGTCAAGGACAAAGTAAGGACATCTTAGCTCTAACGCACATCGGTACACTCACTAGAATTTTATACCGTCATAGGCTTATATACCTATAGGAATTTAATGAGGTTAACTTTCACGTAAATATACAATAACGTGGTTATGTAGTAGTTATTTTAATTTTACTTGTTAGTTTGATGAGAGACATGTCTTGATTTAAATTTATCGATTGTACTTATAGATAATTCTTTAATAGATTATAGACCTGATTAATAAGCAATAAAGTTGAAAATGTAATAAAGACTGAAGTATGTTGGAGGTGCCCTCTTCTCGACTGTACCTACATTGCAAAGGAGGGATATGACGTCTGTCACATAGTATTGGTATTCTATCCAAGGTGTCATTGTTTCAAGGATCCTTATAACATTGTATAACTGACTGACTAACCAACTTAAAGAAATCGGTTCACTGTGATCTTTTGGCACAGCTAGTGAACGAGATCAGCATTTTTCAGATTACTGGCAATACTGATAATTTACCAATAAAGAAAACAAAAGTCAACAATCATTTTTACGTCAACGACCAAGCTACCCGGATTCCCGGATAGCAAACTTGACTCAGAACATAAGCTGAGAACAGTAATATAATACCATGACTTACTTATTGTTAGAATCTTTAAGCAATCCATTGAACTCGTAGAGGTGTCGGTTGGGCTGCTCGCACTGTATGGTGGCTCTGAAGTCGATGAGAGCTGGCGTATTGTCCAGGTGCACCGTCTCCTGGTGCGCCTGTCTAATCTTCAGGTTCGTCTCCCCGTCCAGATTTGAGGTCTCAATGAATGAGATGCCTTGTGGTTCACTGTGAATGATGGAAGATTGGGTGTAGTAAAACTAGTGTGTAAATCTAGATTACATTTATTATGGGTGTTTGCTATCTGCAAGGCATTGTTTCAAAGGAATCATTGTAGAGGGCCTAGTACGAGTTAATTATACGTTTAAAGAAATTGAAACGTTACTGCGTCTAGCTCTCTGATTGGCCAGCTCCAACGAATCAACCAACCAGAGGGAGACGGTCGATCTCACTGAGCCTTCAGCTCATTAGTGAATCCATTTCGCGGCTGATTCAAAAACTGAATTTTTATATAAATAATAATTATGTTACACACACAAAGTATGAACGCTTTTCGAACCTTAACCCGAAGAACGTAAGGTTGAAATCTATCAGTCATCTTTTACACATTTAAATAAAGTGTATTCCGTAATAAAAATACCAACATTTCAACCAGTGACTAAAGCATAATTCCTAGACAAGTGACGCTCGGGTAGTGCATAGTTTTTTGTAGTGTGTCTGAGTGCAGAGGACGCAATAACATTGATGACTAAACCGATTCGTTACGATTGCGTGATTACACACGCAGACACGCGAATCTAGAGACAATTAATTATTAATACATACATGTGTGTAAATCTATAATCTAATTAATTTGTTTGCTCATCAACATCAAACATTAGGTTTGTACAAGAAAAAATATTATTATATTTATTCTAGAATAAGACAACAAAACATTGTTACCAAGAATTGCATTGAAAAAGCGTACGTAACCTATGAAGTTTTTTGCTCGTTCTTCTCCATGGGAATTTACACCTTGGAACGAGCAAATAGCTTCACTAGAGGACTGACCGACAGATTGTCATTTTTAATATTTTGTTTGACGTTCTTAAGTGTCTTCCTGGTCTAATCAAAGTAACTGATTTTGACGTTGACTTTACTTCTTGAGAAAGGCTGTAGGTTAACGTTGCATTAATGAAGTCGTCACAATTAAACAGTGAAACTGCGATAGCGAACTAATTACTCAGCACGTGGCTAGACCAGTTTTAAATCAAACAACAGTTAAAATAAATTGTTGACAGACAGTTAACGTGGTCATACGTATGAGTAGAGCAATGAATATTTAATAATTATGTCAACAAGTGCAATGTCATTGCGTGTGCTGAACTTTGTTTCTATTTTTATGAACACGATGACACGCGAAAATGTTTTATTTACGGCATCATTAGATTTTTTTACAGCCCTTACTGTGGACGTCTGTAAATGATTCACAGGGCCGGCTGGTTAGAAACAACATGCAACCAGCTGTTTGTTTGACGTAACTAGTTTTTATAGTATTTCTCTAGAGAAGGTGAGAACCCTATTCAACACGATGCAAGGTAACAAATCTTTAGCAATATTATTTACATTGCATCCGTTTCTAATGCGCCAGTTATGAAAGACGTTACCTGGAGGCCAGCACGACAATGTCTCCGGGGAAGAACTGGTTGTTGACGACCTTGCAGATGTCCCCCACCATCAAGTCCTGCCAGAGGATGGTGGACCACCGGCCCTCGCGTAGCACCTCCACCTTCCGCCTGTTCGTCTCATCGTCTGCTCGGTGACGCTTCTGAATACAACAAATGACAACTTTTGTTAGTAGTGGAACAGACAGACAGTGGGAGACAGGGGCTTAGAGCTAGTAGACAAATAACTACTGAATCAGTCCAACAATACAGTTCAGTTCTGTTTCTTAAACAATAAGTAAATATAAGTTACCTGGACGTATTAGTACACATTGGGTTATATAAACTACTACATTGTTATCGTACTTTTACGTTTTATAGCCTTTCCAAACCAAATTATATTCCAACGCGCTTGGCAGAGATTATTTCGTTGATATTATACTCATACGTACATATAACTACGATATAATCGGATTTATTTCCAAAAGTAAGGCACCCTCGTTATTTTCCTTGTTCATTACGCACCTCATTAGTAAAAAACGGATCGTGTGTCTTTTAATTCCATACAAGTAGATATTTGTTTTAATAAACAGGTTTTTTACACATTGCTTGTTTTAATAATTATGTTTGGTAGAATATATAATAGAAGGTTTTAACCATTTTATTAATTGATAAAAACCTACTGATCCTGTTTAAGCAAGACTTACAACATTGCAATTTAATAGGGCATGTTTTATTCATAATAATATATTTCCCAACTAGCTTTTACCCGCGGCTTCGCTCGCGTCACAAAAGAATAAAAAGTAGCCTATGTGACATATACCAATACACACAGCGCCATCTATACCAATACTTTTGTTTTTCCTCGGGAATATCAATTTTCCCGGGTTAAAAAGCACCCTATTATTTAATCCGGACTTCTAACTTTACGTCTGCAAAAATTCAAAGCAATCGGTTGAGTAGTTACGGCGTGAAGGTGGAACAAACAAACAAACAAACTCACTTTCAGATTTATAATATTAGTAAGGATAGTAGTTATGAGTTAACTTGTATGTCAGTAGGTATCCTATCACTGAGATGAATCACAAACTCATCTCTTTCTTTTATTCAAGGAAAAAATGGAAATTATTATATGTACCTATTATGTTTACGATTCCTCAAATGTTTTACGTCCTTAAAAATAATTGTGTAAAATGACGGAATTAATAAACATACAGTCCACTAGATTATCACAGGCCTAATATTCTTGACGCATTAAAGGATCGTTGTCAATATACTCACGAAGTCTTCAACGATTTCCTTGAGGGCGCTGACGCAGAGGATGAAGAAGAGCGGTGTGACCGTGGTCCAGCGTCCCGTGGGAGACACGTCAGGGATCTGCTGCAGCAGCCCGATCAGCAGGAAGAAGCAGTTGGAGTAGCGGCGGAATTGCTCGAACAGGAACAGCGGAATGAACGAGGGAACGCTGTGGAACATCAATGTATATTGAGTACAAAGCTATTACAGTGGATGTTGTGTATTAAAGTTAGCACGGAATGGAGTTGTGTACGAGGTTTTAGTTCTGGGAGCTCTAGGCTCAAGATACAAGTAAGTAACAATCATGTGAATAAAAATTTCCTTTCCCATTATTATTTGAATATTTTTCCTGTGCACGTTCACAGGGAAAAATCCATTTAACCGACAGTAACCTCCGCTATTTCCAGTAATTAAATAGGAAAACAACAACAACAGTAAAAATGTCAGTAATAGGTGTGTGTACGATCATGTAAACGATTGACGCGACCGTCGTAAATACGCGACAGGTTATCGTGTAGTTTGTACTTAGCAGGTACTTTGTTCACAGTTCAGCCAGGATTGCGATAGCACGATTACACTGACAGCCGTACCTAATACAGTAAATTGGTTTACTCTTGAAAAATACTCAACAGCTATAGAGGAAAATATTTTCGTCATTAAAACTTACAAAGAATATAGAGAGTGAAATATGGGTTATAAAACCGTTTCTTCTGAACATTTCCTTCCGCAAATATGAAATGTAAATCTACTAATTGGGCGAGAAACGTTTTGAATATTAATGAATCAGGATGCGCGAACTGAGGGAATGAAAGCACAAACAAACGACCGAGGGATTATATAAAGGAGTGAAAGACGAGATGGCGCAAATTAGGAAATAATCAGAGGAATATTGTTGTTCATTTCTCCCCGCAAGGCGACACAAGAACATGGGTTAAAAAGTACCTACTTATGTATCGCTTTATACGGCAACTAAACACTAGTTCTAGCCCTCCAGATACATTAACAATTCCCAAAGGCATCACGTTATTCACGAAGGTTAGGAGTTACAAAAAAGCAGCTCGATTAAATAATGAATGGTGTCCATACGAGTGGTGGTAGAGGTACCTACTTAGCCAGTGAACATGGTTGTATTCAAGTGGACAATCATGACTCATTAATGATAGGTTAGCTGCTTTGATCGTATCGAAAGTAAATTGTAGTGAAAACATCGATAAATTATAGGTAGGACCCAACCGAAGCATTGAATACAAACTATTTAATTTATCAACCACCAAGAAACAATGTTTGTTTTTCAACAAATGGCTGTTTACGTAGGTACCCAATTATTTGGGTATTACGTACCTACTTGTGAGTGCCTGTTTTGATTACCATTCGGTTTTTGTACAAATATTTTCATCAATAGATGACCTAACCGCACCGTTATCAGCGTGTAATTGTAATGCACTATGCATCGTCTATACTTGAATTCATTTCATTTATTTCAGGCTATACCTATAGTGGTAATATTCGGTCTAGTTTACATCAATCCCTTTACTTTTGTCATTTTCAAACTACAGCTTATTACCACTCACACGATAACGCTTTACATTCACTTAGTCAAGTCAGTCAAGTTCCTTATTTTTATTATATTAGTTCGCAATGCACATAAAATGTTGACTACATAGTTCTAGAATCGCTGCATACATGATCTCATAACTTCATATCATTTTCCGTCTTCTTCCGTCGGAAAATATAATAATAACACACTACATATTTATAAATATTTGCTGCAATTCATGCAATTATAATGAACAATACTACCTATAGGTAATACTGATTGTATGCATTCATTAGTTTAATTTGAGATTCCCTGCTAGGCAGCTAGGTAGTTACGTAGATTTGCAATCTGGTCGTATTAGGTAGGTGCTTGTATGAAGAGCTCATAAATATGTAGATAATTTACCTTAATAAAAACAAAGACATGGGATTTTTTTTATATGACCACTTCTATCTCGCCTGGTGGTAAGCGATGATGCGGTCTACGATGAAGGACGTCGTCCCATAAGCAACTTATTCGCTCGGGACACCCAAATGGACAAACAATATCATCAATAGATAACTAAAAATGCTTGGTTGGTAATGCAGTACAATGAACGAGGTACTGTCAGTTCATAAACCTTCACCCTGAAAGCAGAAACAGCAGTAAACGCGTATAATAGTAAAGTAATTGTGTTACATCCGTACATACATGCTCGAGTGAAGTAAATTAATTGAATAATGCACACGGACGCGCTCGCATTAATCGTCACGCGATGGACGACAGGTGCTGAACTTTGTTACAATGCGAGTTATGAGTGACGGACTGGCATTCCGACGCGTATTATTGCTTATCACTAGTATAACTTGTCTAATGTGCACGCTTTATGACTAGGGAAGTTCGGACTGGAGATAAGAATCTGAGTCACGAGAGAATGACTCTTGTCACTAGCATAGTCTGCAAAATCCTTGAAGGTTCACTGGGATTTGATACTTACGGCCATCAGAACAGCACATGGAATAGGGGAGAGGATTAGAGCACAGGGGAATGGCAGTCCCACTCTTTTGTAATAACAGATGATTAATACTACCGCCGCATTGACAAGTGGGGTACCAAGAATTGAATGTGGCCTTTTTTCGTCAATACAAATATTATGGTACATTTGCTGATGGAGTGTGCTCGGAACGGAGAACAACGTGAGATATTCGTGAAGGATTATAAAATAAAGAAATTTGATGTAAGCATTATACAATCCACTTTATCTGTACCATCTTCAGCGATTATTAAAAAGCAGCAATTAATCAAGTAATCCTCTAGATTAAAGAAAATTTAATAGTCAGGTAATGTAAAAAGAGTACGATGGGGCTGACATATCTGTAATAATTGGCATTAAAGTTTTAGATTAAAAAAATATTATGGTACAACTTCTATGAGCCTTTCCCCTAATAATACTGGAAACAAGTTGGAATAACTTGAAATTATTGTGGATTAATTAAAAAACCTAGCTCAACTGCTCAACTTTCCACAGTAAAATCTACTGCAAATTGAAACTAACAATAAAATCACGTGAAATCGCAGGTGTAGGCCTAATAAGGGAGCATTATAATTAGCAGTCATGCAGCCATTGCTACGCACTGCTACCATACTGACACACTTCCTGGAGTTTCAATGTCAATACTGGGACAATGATTCTCAGTTGAACATGTACAAATATGTTCATCCAATGCGCAATGTCAGCAGTTAAACACCATGGCAGGTTTGCAAAAAGATCACGTCTCTAATGAAGCCTCTTTTGGAACGATCATCATTTAACTACGTGTGGAAATACAAGTTTCCTAAATAGTAAGTAGTTTCCGTGGAGATAGTGACGATATATTAAAGTATATGACATCGGTATACGGAGTACGGGCACGCGGCCAAGCGTCGCGGCGCGCGTAAACAATGCGCCGTGTATACAATGCCGCTCCGGTGTTTAGGCACGGGTATTGTCGCCTCGCAAACTTTACGATCCAGCCGAAATGCTCTGCGAATGTCGAAAGAGGACCAATATAATTCACACGGAGCGCCCCAATCATGTTCTCGAAATATAAAAGTGGCCCGAGCGTTTCCGATCACGTTTCATGAACATTATGTCTCAGTTTGCACGTGGATCGATTGACTGGCCTTAGGTAAAACTGTATTGCACAAGAAATGTACGATATCAAGTAAACAGTAAGTGCTATTTGGATTTTAGTTCTTTAATAAATATTTACATAAATCAAATCAAAATACTTAGCGTAGCGATTCAGTCGAACCGCGGTTTCAATATGAGGAATGAATCAGATCTTTTTATTACATCTTAATTAAACTAAATCAGTTTCAACTGTGGAAAACGCATTTTCTCCTCAAACCACTGAGGTTAAACGTTCCACGGATCTTATTACTCATTTTTATTAGAAAAATGTAGATATATAACCGATATAGTAGTTTCAATTTTTACATAGACGGTGAATGCTTGTTCATACAGATTGTTGTAGATAGCTGGCGCCTCGCGTGCTGTGTCTGTGATAGTCTCATGATTGTTCGTTAACAAGTCTCAATTATTTTCTATTCACAGAGACGCATAAACATTAAATAAAATGCAATATCACAGTGTACTGACTTATTCTTGGCTATTCTGTGATTCTTGGCCGCATGCGATTCAGTTTATAGTGAAGAACCACGTTTTTCAGTAGTTGAGTTGAGTCGCCATAATACGTCATTTACGACAAGGAACAGAGTCATAATTGCATACATCTTCAAATCAGCGCAGTCACTGGTACAGGAATAAGAAGGAAAGCAGTCACACAGAACGTAGAACTGCATGTCACTATCGGATATCCGTCGGTCGCTACGACTACCGGATTTGTGACGGGACTTTATGTCAAGTCTGCATGTGACAAGGACAGACTATATAGACGTGTTCTATATCTTCCTAAAACTGTACCAAGTTTATAAAGTTGTTGTTTTATTATAAGTTCAACGTATTCAAATGGCAGAGGTTGGATACGAAGAACTGGAGATCATGCTGTTGGTCAGGCATCTAGCGATAGATAGAAAAGAGTTGAGGATGATGATGAATACAAATGTAATAAGTACCTGTATTTAGCCGTAGTTATTCGATTGTTAACGAATTTTATGGGCTGCGGTCTGTTCACGAAGATTATTCTGTTTTGCTCGAGCGGCGGTCCGTCTGTCAGGCCGGACGTCGTCGCCTCGTCTTCATCTAGAAACAAGAAAAAGAAAATTTTAATACTTCAGTCGTTGCAAACTCTTGGCAGACTGGTATATAACGCAATTATGGAGAATACGAATTCTCCTCAGCTTATTTGATAACCTTTATTAACTAGATATTCCGTTCTACATTTTTAGGTGCAGAGGATTTAGACTGCAGTTGGAGAAAATGCATCATTTAAATACAGAAAGTGTAATAAAATGAAAATGGACGACAGCATTTCATTAGTATTCATTGCTCAGACAGGACCCTACATATTGAGTCTCATAATTTTAAAGAGCTTCAGAAAATATCACGAACAACGTCATTGAATAAGCAATAAGTAATCGTCTGAAAATATCTCGGGACATGGCTGTGTGTAGAAGTGCGCAACGAGGTAAAGGTCACCGATTTAAAATATGTTTTGTGATGTCATTGTGCACAATTAGTCGCGGCTAAATCACAGCGGATTGTTGTAATACAAGTTGATGTCAGTCGCGCGCTATTGCCACTAAATTGTCGTGTCAACATGTAGACTGCTGGTAATGCTGGTATCATTACTCACGAACAGCTCAAACCCACAGTATCACAGGTCATTGCCTTCATCTGCAATCAGGTCGGTGCAAAAAGAGAAAACATGAAGCGTTTAGTTTTTTGCACCGCGTTGAAAACTTTCTAATGAAAAACTGTATGAAAGAACATTGCGATTCAAATATATCTGACGCTTCAAGGTGAATTAATAAAGTATCTGTGCATCGCGTTCCTACGCGGAATGGTAAGGAACATACATTTTTGCACCGTTTGCACGCCAGAATGATAATTGTACTACATTAATTTGACCTTAGCAAATGATACCGAGTTAAAACAAAATAAACGTTATCAAAATAAGCTGAGACGCGTCTATAACGAACATGTAACCATTTTGATGAATTTAGGTTTAATTATAAATTTCACAAAGCCAACGTTACAATGAAATGAGTTAATTGTTTCAGTGAATAATGAGCAATTGTCTCGGTTTCATGTACATCGGCTCGTGCCGTAGTTGTAACTACACGGCATTAAAATGAAGACATTAATTAACATTGTTTGGTTTCGTTATTAAGATAAACATGACCACACCAACCGATATATGTATAAGACAAGTTGGTATCAGAAGACTGTTACTGCTAATACACTTACCACTCTATTGTCGAATAAAACTGCTGTAGGAACCTAATCACTTTTGTCATTTTTAGATTGATTGAACTTTGAACTGATACGTAAGTACCTAGGTAGGTATGTTGATACGTACTTACATCTTCAGATCTGTAAGTTTAGTTCAGATTCTAGATCTGTCAATATTGGTGCCTATCTTATTGGTAATATCTTTACAACTCTAGCGATATGGTTACAGACGTTTTGAGGAAGAATGGATTAATAATCAAACCCACTTAGCGCATTTGCCTTGTCCTTGAAAGACGGTTTACGTGCGTAGTTGTTTATTAGGTACCACATTGCAATGTGCATCACGAGAGATAAAAACTGACGATATTCCAATAACTATTTAGTTAGTAACTAACTAACTAGATAACTGGCTACCGTGATTGCGGCGGTAACTACCAACTTTATTGTTTTGTAACGGATTCTTAAATCTGAGGATTTCGGCATTCAATAAGCTGACTGTACCAGGTAGTTCCCAATGACGTGGAACCGCTTGAGCAGCTAATTTCATTTAACCTAGGTAAATGAAGTGACGCAAACATTACTGGGGATGCAGTCGTGACTAGTTCAGAACTGATCTGGACTAGCGTTGCAGCAGAGCGTATAAAACCCGCCTAGTATTAAAACGTACCTACGTACAAAATGCTCGGTTTATCGGTTTGTTTAATAACCAACCGATAATAAATCAGAACTAATATGAATCAGCGTAGCGTTACGTGCGTATTTTTAGGTAAGTAATTAAATAGAGTTTAACTAATAAAAAAAGTAGGTAGGTAGTTATGCAGTTGCCTTTTTGTTGCCTACTAAGACTTATAGAAGTACTTAACTAGGTACCTAACTCCTAAATTATAGAAAAAGATAACATTACCTAATAAAACAAGCATTGTTTTTTAGCAAATAAAATCTAATACAGGTTAACATAAAATACTAGGCGCTAACAATATAACAACACTGCGACTATAAATATAAGCGGCGTCTAATTGTTTGTTATTGTTTGGTTCACTAATTGGTACCTAGCAATATGTATTCATGAGGCGATCGTTATCACACCTCAACCACTGCGTGTTTTTCCACTGCCGACACACAATACGATAAAATTCGGTTATATTTGATGGCGCATAGACTTTTCACTTCGTAAAATTACGCTGGTATGTAAGCCGTGTCGTATTGGACAATGGAAATACGCGAGCACTGAAGCACTTAGTGGGAAGGTCAAGGATACGACGCTATGAAAGACAGCCTGTCTCAAGGACATCATGGCCACATACCCATTATTAAACCAGTGGAGTAGTACTGTCGAACCAAAACACCATCACTGCAGGTGATGCATTGCAGTCTAAGTGGCAAGGCTGGCCATATTTCTAATTACCTTGGATGTTAGCTTAAAGATAACATTATAAACATACCTAGTTTAATTCTTTTATAGGCCATGATAAATCTGGTACTATGTATGTCTTATCTGTAATAGTTTTGTCTAACATGCATAGTCTACAGTGCTTCATACTTACCATGAAAGTAAAGAAACAATATGTAATCAATATCAAATCATAAACAATACTATCTTCTAACAGTTATCTATGGCTTAAAGATAGTTACTGAAGTAGAAAGTAATCTTTTGTCTTCTAGTAGTCCGTAAACAGATTTCTGATAAGAATATTAGCGGTGAAGCGAATGTTGATAAGACAGTCCAATCAATAATTATTATGCACAGATAAGATGCTGAATCATAACAAACTTCATCACATTATTTATTGATGTTATTACATTTAAGTATATGAGCAATATTTTTAATTATTTTGATATTTATTCATCTCATGTCACTATTAAGAAATAGGTAAGTACTTACTATCAGTTATTTATTATATCAGATGTATTTTCTGAACATACTGAGAAATGTGTTAAATAAATAAATTGGATTTGGTCTTTAAAAACCATTGCACTAAAACTTAAAGAACAAAAGTTCTTTAACTTTTCTTTATTATTTTTTATTATTTACAGTATTATTCATTCCTGTATCAGACAACTATTCCCAGCAATGGAGCAGTTACTTTAACATATCATTACCACAAAGTGATGTTTATAACCTTTTGGTAGTCTTATCCAGTATACATTTCTTGCCGAACCTTACACAAAACTATGCTTTTTGATGCCTGTAATATTAGACAAAGTTACACTTATACTGGTGTACTCACATTTTGGTAGGTTATCGTGCAAGTCTCATGTATTTCAGATCAATGATACTGTTACAATGCTACAATACCATTAAACAAGTTGTTCTTATTTGTACCTAACAACATTTCAGGATTTGTACTCCAGAATTCATATGTAACGGGGAAAAATTTCAGTGAAAACCACAAATTGTTGTACATGATTCCACATTGTACAGTACTGTTTAAATGTTAAAGAAATATGAATTACAAAGTAATAGGATGTACAAACAAGACAAGAATAAATCTGTATCTTTCAAGATAAACAAGTCTGTTTGTTTACACAGACCATAAAATTTGGCAGCACACCTTAGAGTGAATAAACAACATTGGTACTATGCTGGTACGCTGAGCAAGGATGACATCACTCCTTGACACACTAATATCATTAAAGAAAATCAATGTTTTTATGTCACCTGCTAAATATAGAACCTATAAGACCCTTTGGCCGGCAAACTTAAATATACAGAGAACCAATCTACACAAGAGTGAACTTGATAGGAAGCTGAGTGGGTTGAAAACTTAGATTCTAACATGGAAAACATGGGGGATCTGATATATATAATTGTTTAATTAGAGGCATGGTATATATGCTCCGCAGGACTTACGTTGGTTCATCTTGAGCACCATGGCTCGGTAGAACCTGGAGAAGGGCGCCATCACGTTTCTGATATCCATTTCAGAGAATCTCCAAATAACTTGTTGTGTAAAACACTTGATCAACACTATTTAAACACTAATAAAATACTAAATTTGACACTCATTATCACCGCGTAGTATCGCGAAGAAAATAAAAAAAACTTAGAACTGGTTAGAACAATTTCTTCTAACGACGTTTAATTAATCGACATTTTCATTGAAGCACAAATATTAAGCGTAACTTATTGAGTAAACTTTCAGTGTAAATAATAACATTACTTCATTCACGAGTTCTTTTAAAATATTAAAAGTGTTTGAAATACATGTTGACATCATAAACAGCCGCTACATGAGTCGTTTCTTGCGATCGATCTGTCCATGTTCACCGCCCACGAGTAGTGATGTGCGTAACTACTTTGAATGAAAAATGTGTTATATCGATACTGGATACCGAGATGCAAATCCAAGATTTGTACTAACGTTATGTAGGCACTGTATTCTTATTACGATGAATCATTATAGAAAATAATAAATTTATTGACTTGAAAAACATATAAAACTATTGTGAGCACTATCCATTGGCCAATATTTCTTCATTTTAACTTGAAATATGTTGTTGATAGTAGAAAATGTGTTTCATAGGAGGGCAAGTTAATAAAAGCATAAAATGGTTAAGATGCTCCTTTTACACAGTTCTCTTCTAAAGGATATAATTGCATTTATTTTAATCGATACACAGATTTATCGTTACGGTCTCTCACTACTAGTATGACAGCTACACCGTGCTGCCACCTACAAAGAGGATTGTGACAGATGACATTCGTACTTTCTAATTACCATAGATAAAAACTACCGAAATATTGCCACTTTTCATGAGATTGAAACCGAATAAAAGTTTTATTTCTTGATAATAAAATAATATCGACATTATAATAAAATTAGCATTATGGTTTGTTTGTCTTTGTA